GCACCTCAGGCTACTCGCGTCTATTTGCTCTGTACAAAGAGGGAGTTCAGAGGCATTTACCTATATTTCCTGTAATAAACCTGACCTGCTTCAATCTCCCCTCTTTTTTCGGCATTTTAAATCCCGCTGACTAACAGGCGTTCCACCAAACCATGGCAGCCTCCAAAGTTGATCTCAAATTAGTCACGGTCGCGTTTGCAGACAACACTATCTAATGTGGATCGGCCAGACTGCATTGTCCCCCATGGTCCCTTATGTTTATGCGCCCCATACTGTCCCTTGACCTAACAAATCACACACCCAACACTCAATCCACCTGTTGACACGAACAAATACAAACGTTTAAACATCGCCCCACTGCTCGCACGCTCCCGTAAGGACACAAGCAAAAAGTCACCCAACGGCAACCTGCCTAGTGTACCCAATAAACCGTTCCCAACAGCTGCTTGCCTTCTTCTATTAGACAGAGCAATATTAGTGTTTGTACCAATTCTTGACCTCAACGTATTCCAACATCGGTTTAAGAAACATATCCTACAGCGGCACGAAGACGCTGCGACAATTTAATTTTAAGAAAACAGTCTACTATGTTAAGTCTATTCAACCATAACTTGACGCCGAAGTTTATAGGAGTAAGTCTATTTACCTCAAATACACTGGACTGAAGTCAAATACGCAAAGTGGCAGAATGCGCGCACTGCTGCCGATCTTAATAGTCTCATTGGCAAACAGTTCTTACCTCATTCATCTGACGCGTGTGACATGTACTTTGATGAATTCAAACGGTTACTGACCGACCGTATTTCGGTTGTTCTTCCTGAAAGCGTTGAGATATTTAAAAGAAGACTTATTGCATATTTACTTACTGACCATATTTATTTGACAGGTATCAGGGATTTATATGACGTGCACATATAAAGCCGTGACATATGCATGCTTTGCCAGAATTTATCTTTGAATAGGGTTTTCAAAGGCTCTGCATAGTTCCCTTCTACATTCAGAACTATATCACATTTTAAATTATTATACCCAAAGGAAAAGAGGTTTCAAGAGCGGTACCATTGGACCAAGGCCTAAGAATCCTTTTAAGAATTTGAAGACGATATTTAGATCTGCTGTTTTGCAATGGTGGGCGTATTTCATGTTTTCAACATAAATAAAGGGCCTAGAATTCTGAAAAGAATCTGCAAAATCTTTGATAGACAAAATAATGACAAGCAAAGCACACAACCAGAGAATTATAGTTCTAAAGATAACATTGTAAATCCTAACTCGTAATTGTACAAGGCGCACTACCCTTCGAATCATGATGGGTTCATCCCAATCTCCTTCCCTTTAGGTACAGGCAACTATAAGTTGACATCGTACAAACGTCCGCATCATGCGCAGTTAGGACTGCAGTCTTGTGTCTCGAGGCTGCTCCGAGT